ACACAGTCGGACTCGTCGTCCCAGCGCTCAGGATGAGTAACAGTCAGGTCAGATCTTAGTGGGACCGCAGAGAGGAGGAACAGCCTGAAATGTAACATCGTATATCTGAGAGTCTAAAGGGAAGAAATCTACATTAAACAAGAGAACACGAGGCATAAAAAGCCTCCAGTGGTTTGATCAAGAATTCACCAAATCAACACGATGCATTATTTAAACATTAACATGTAGTTTACGGTTAGGAGGATATAAAGGGAACATTCGACTTTATACAGTTTCATCCTTCAACCTGCAGAACGAATCCACAATTCATCTGTAAACTGAACTTAACGGTGGTGCATTCACTTACACCAATCAGCACTAACATTATGAGCACTGGGTTTCTTGACTGGTACCAGACCAACAGACTGCGCTGCACTGTGTGTTCTGACCCCTTTCTACCAGAACCAGCATTAACTGTTTCAGCAGTTTGAGCTACAGTAGCTCGTCTGTTGGATCAGACCACACGGGCCAGCCTTCACTCCCCACCTGCATCAATGAGCCTCAGCCCCCCATGACCCTGTCTCTGGTTCTGTTCCTTCCTCGGACCACTTTTGGTCCGAGGAACTGACCTCTGCAGACTGGGAACCCCCCACAAGAGCTGCAGGTTTGGAGATGCTCTGACCCACTCGTCCATCACAATGTGGTTCTTGTCAAAGTCACTCCGATCCTCAAGCTGACCATTTTTCCTGTTTCTAACAGATCAACTCTGAGGACCAAATGTTCACTGTCTGCCTGATATATCCCCCCCCCACCCCTGACAGGAGCCCTGATAACCAGATAATCAGTGTCACTGTCAGTGCTCACTGTTTTAGGGCTGATCAGTGTACTTACTGTATGTAATGAAGTGCGTTTGAACGGTGGTGCGTTCACTTACTTCAGTACAAGCTCCACTTACTTGCTGCTTTTCGGGCTTTCAACTGTATCTCACCATCTTCACCAGAGAATGCAGTTTGCTTTGGGCTGCATGAGATGTGTTAAACAATCATTATTATTATTATTTCTCAATTTAAACACATACTAAGTCACCAGTTAATGTTTTCCTTCCTTTAATTCTGAATTTGTACATTTTATCTGATAATAAAGATGAACCAAAAGCAACCTTCAGGGAATCCCTGAATGCAGCATGAAGCAAGTGTGTGTGTGTGTGTGTGTGTGTGTGTGTGTGTGTGTGTGTGTGTGTGTGTGTGTGTGTGTGGTGAGCTATTTATATCCTCTTTCTTTGAGGGGATTCTGGAGTCTATTTTTGCTGAGGGTCCTGGTCGTCTGCACCATTTAACATCCCGAGGGGGGGTTGATGGTTCACAGTTAATGAGAAAAAGCAGCCGTTAACTCGTCAGTGTGACAGATTATGTAATTAAACCAGAGCGAGATATCAGCTGATACTGCTGTCTGTGTGTGTGTGTGTGTGTGTGTGTGTGTGTGTGTGTGGCCGATCACCAGGCTGACATGTACTGTGACGTGTTTTCTTGCCGACCCCCCCGTGGCTCTTTTCACTGATGGTATGACCCAAAAAAATTATAAAAATAAAAGAAATCCCTTCACTTTCTGCTGAGAGAGAAAGCGACCTTGCTTTTGCCCTCAGCCTGCAGAATAATGTCTGCTCTGTTCCAACAGCCTCGATAACAGGGACTGTAATACTGGGGCCTTTATTAGGTTATATATTTATCTTCAATCTAGGATTTTTAATGTTAAAATAAATGTTAATAAACATGTTAAGTCAGATTTTTTTCCTACAAACGTACATTTTTTGCATTTTTAATGGAAATAAATATGTCAGTTTAGGAGTTTTTATTTCTGTAAATCAACAACAAGCACGACTGCAAACAACTCTTTACAATATTTATGTTAATTTCTTTGACATTTTCTATTTGAATGTAACTTAGCTTTAGCTAGCTAGTAGTAAAATTCTTCATCTGGTTAAAAACCACCAAGATCTAAACAGTGGATGGTAAAAATGTGGCTTCAAACTGGATAGCAGTTAATAGACTGAGGCTAAAGCTAACTGGTCCCAGGTTTCTAAATAAACTGAAACATTATTTCTGTCAGTCAGGAGCGACTGTGCTGCTTCTGCGAGGATTTTCTGATCCCTAAGTGAGCTAACAAAATGCTTCCTCTGAGGCAAAAGAGAGCAAGCGAGCCCTGGTGGACGGGGTGACCACAGGGTCATGTGACTGATGTGACTGATGACTCCGGCGGTGGCCTAGATTAATGACTCGTGGCCACTAGCCATCTTCAAATGGACGGGAATGTCCTTGGATTACTGGCTAATCCCAGTTGAGATTTGAGAGATGAGAGAACTTTCGGGGCATGATAAAGCCGAGTAATGGCTGTGTGAAGCAAAGATTAGTCCTCTAACAAACATGGCTGTATCACACAGGGCCTCTGGTTAACTCTTCGCTGTGGTCAGGCCCTCGGCTGATCCTGATTAAACAGATTGTTTGAGTGAAATAAGCTGTTCATTGACTGTTATGGGAAACGTAGGATCCAGAGTTTCTGAAGTTTGACCCACACTAACTTAAAGTATATCTGATGTATCCATTTTTAACCCCGTATGCCAAAACATGTACAAAAAACTAAAATTATTTGTATTTTAATATCAAAATCTAATCGTTTCGTCTGCCTGCAAAACAAACGTGACGCATGCTGACGTAACGGGGGGGCGTCTCGGTACCATATTCTCTGTCAGCATCAATACGACCGCTACAGCTGCTGGACCACAAACACCAGTTTAAACATCTCCTGCACCACACTGGAAACATAACAGTGCAGAATATTCCAGGATGAACAACACCACACACTTCCACCTTAAGGAACAACACCACACACTTCCACCTTAAGGAACAACACCACACACTTCCACCTTAAAAAACAACACCACACACTTCCACCTTAAAAAACACACACTAAAAACAACACCACACACTTCCACCTTAGGGAACAACACCACACACTTCCACCTTAAAAAACAACACCACACACTTCCACCTTAAGGAACAACACCACACACTTCCACCTTAATAAACAACACCACACACTTCCACCTTAAGGAACAACACCACACACTTCCACCTTAATAAACAACACCACACACTTCCACCTTAATAAACAACACCACACACTTCCACCTTAATAAACAACACCACACACTTCCACCTTAAGGAACAACACCACACACTTCCACCTTAATAAACAACACCACACACTTCCACCTTAATAAACAAGGCTAAGAGCAGCTTCATAACACATGGTTCAGTGAGCGGCCATCAGCACTGATTCATGCAGGTCATGAGGAGGACAGTCACTGTACACATGAACACACAGATTTCTCCACTCAGACCTCCGGCCTCCCGTTAGTGCTCACCTCACCGGGAGAGGAGCAGTGAAACCACCTCGGACCGATCAATTATTAACGAGGAGCGGGGCTGAGTTTCACAAACACAAAAAGGCGAAGTGATCTCGTCTCTCAGCCGGCCGTCCAGCCAGTCAGACAGCCACCGATCAAATGTTGCTGCAGTCAAAAAGTGATGCTAATGAGGTGAGCGTGCAGTGCTTTATGGGAAATATTTATAAAGAGAGAGAGAAACTTTGAAAGATAACAAAATCCACATTATATTTTTTGTTTCTTTTTCAGTTATCCTCAGTTTTCTGTTGCACTTTGATCTGGGACAATATCTTGGTTTATAAAGACGTTTTCACAACATTAACGACATGTTAGAAAACCCTCCTCCCATCAGTGGCAATAAGACAATCTAAGGTTGAATCTGGATATTTTTTCGTCTTTATTGCAACAGCAGATACAACAGAAATATCCTACAGTCATCCAAAAACTAAGCGTAGGTTTTGGATTACAGAGCATCCAGCCAGATCAGCTGAACCAGCCCACTATGGCAGGTTCTGCCCCAAGAGGAGAGGAAGAGCACCGGGATAGGAACTTAAGGCGACTAATGTCCCGTCTGAATCGGACTTAAACAACAGGAAATCAGCGACTGTTGTGCTCACATCTTTACAGAGACCTGCTCCCTCAACATCCCAGATCCTTGTTATAAGTATGCAAGCTCTCGGTTCAGCAGCTGTTTCAACCCTGACCTACAGTCAGAAGCTGTGACAGGAAGAATGACTGTGGAAACAAGCAGCAAATATTAGTTTCCTATGCAGGGTGGCTCATCCTGAAGGAGATTAGATTAAACAGGTTGCTCATTTGTGACAAAAGGAGCCAGCTGCGGTGGTTAGAAAGTGTCTTTAAGAGGTTTTTCTGGTCTTGGGCGACTGGGAGGAGTCCCTGTGATAGACCACTACACCCATCTGGAGGATGTGGAGACGAGAGGAGGATGTATTCGCTACCTAACGTATCCTGCTGCCACTGTAACCTGGACGTGCAAGCTGCAGTGAAGGAATGGATGGATGGAACAATTATGCCTGCTGATTCAGCAGTCGCAGTGCTAATGGAGTTCAGCTGTGGTTATTCCATTTGCAGTCTCCGCTGACTCCCTCAGAGTGGCTCTCTTATGTAATGGATCTGTTTCCCTGCAACTCAGAGTCATTACTTTTGAATGAGGCTTAGGGTGGCTGGAGTAGCAGGAAAGCAGGATATCTGCTGGATCTACATGACTTTGCAAAGAGGAGTCAAAAAGTTAGAATATGATACGACTGCATTGTTCCTGTGAGGAAATTTGTCTCAGAGTTGCAGCCCCACTGAATCTCCAGATAAAGCCAGAAAAACAAGAAAAAAGCCACTGAAACTGCGATCTTCACCTTTTAAAATGAAATGCTAAAAAATGAATTCCTTTTTATATTTTTATATGAAAATCCAATAATCTTTTCTTCCTGTGAAACAGGATTTCAATAATATCCTGACATTCACCCGTCAATCAATCTTAAACTTTTAGCGACACAGAGCGAACTTCCTGTTTCTTGTTTCATGTGGACTTTAACCTGAACGATGTATTAAAAAAATAGGCACGTTATACAGTTGAGCACAGTTCATTTATTTATTAAACATAGGTGGTAGAAACATAAAGCCTTGTTAACTTTAATATACATTATATCATATTATACAAATCATTTACAACATTGCAGTACATTAAAGAGAAAGAAAAGGCCACATTAAACTTAGTCACAACTAGTATTCAGAATGACTCTGTTGTGCATATACATTATGTACGATCCCAAGCCATACATATATTACATTATGAAAGACTTGTTCTCTTTTTTTTTAATGTTATTTAACTTTATACCTGCCATACAGTGAAACACACAGACACTCAAGTTAACAAAAATAAAATATTATTTGAGATTTTACACACTGAAGACACAAGTTGAGGTTTTGCAGACAGTTATTTTTGTCACTGTTGAATCAGCTGTTAGCAGAAGCGGGAAAACACCATGAGACGAACACACAGTTCAGTGAATGAATACAGGACCGACCTCAAACACATAGAGACACACTGCTTGTGTTACACTCATGCCGGTAAGGATCGATGATTGTTGTTTTTTAGTATTTTTCTCTCAGTCTTGTTTCTCTCTGTTTAATTTTAACAGCATTATAAAAAAGGAAAGTATTATTTTCGATTTAACATGAATTTTATATTGTCAATCAAACTAAATATTAATTAGAATAAATAATTTTCTGACATTTTCTGATGGGAATTTATCACATTTTTAATTTAATAATTAAAACAACAGCCTTTCACATCAGCCCAAGAAGTCATTCAGACGTCAGAATGCTTCAATTTTTACGTCATTTTTTAAACATAATGCATCATTTTTTAGCAGTACTGTAAAAAGGGTACAGTTATGGTCGTATGAAAACTAAATATTATGATTTAGGTTATTTAAGTCCCATTTCTTTAAATTTATGTTAGATTTTGTATCATTTCATTATTTCTTTTCTTCTCTTTTGGGGTTAATTATTAAAATATTTCCCCTAAACTTTATGACTTTATCGTCAGCTCATTTTAAACACAGAATAAATATATAAACTCAGTTTAATTGCAGGCAAAATGTTATGTTCACATTCATTTTAATTCACTTTCTCTTCATTTTAGATAAAATTAACAATAATGTTTGGCCATTACTCAGCATCCAGACCAAAATAATACAAATGTAAAAATAAAAACAACAGATTGTATGAAAACGTGATAAAGTTTCATGAGCTGCCAAAGAAAAACTAAAGTGAGACATATGAGGAATGTCATTATTCGAAAACAGAAAATGAATCTAAGGAAGCACAAAGTGGACATGGTTTCGAATATTTTTTTAGGGCTATAATCCTAATACCACAACTTAATTTACAAGAAAACATTATTTTGGCGTTTTTTTTAGGAAACCAAATCATGTTTTTTGGTGCCAAAATTAAAATGTTTAGATAATCATGCAAAAGAACCTCAAACATATATATCTGGACATTACAGATTCCCCAAACACCTGAAAATGTATATTTAATTAATGAACACTGGCTCTCAATAAGGTTTTTAGTGATTTTCAGGTCTTCCGTAGGATGTGACAATGACTGACTTTACAAGATAACAGGCCTAAAAATATGAATAGTCTTGTCCACTTTGAGCTTCCATAGCGGAGATTTTTCTTTTCACTTCTTCACATTTGTTTCCTCTCATAACAGCAACCAGGAAGACAACTTACTGTACATTCAATACATTAATTTACATTATTTCTATGTGCAACCGGTCGATTGCGTCCCTACAGTGCTAACACACACACACTTTCTTCTTCTGTGGTACTTCAGATGCATTTGACAGGGTTATTAACTCAATCAGGTTATGATTAAGGCACTGTTAACTTTTTATGCACGGATACAAACAACCAGAGAACCCACCTTTGCTGATGATATTGTACTTTACATGCATTATTGCTTATCGATGAATAACTGTGGTTACTGCATGTTTTCTAACTGACCTCTGCTGGTTTTCTGTCTGCAGTTAAATATTCGATTTAACCTACGAAGTATTTTCACATCACGACTTCCGAACTCTTCACCCCTGAAGACGTCAACGCTGTTAATGGTTTGCATGTTAAAGAACAGTTATCAAGGCTGTAGTTTGGCTTCAAAACTGGGAGACAACAAAGATTTAATTATTTCTAGCATTTAAAAGCTTCTATGGTTACAAATGTCTTATGTAAATCAAAATATGAGCAATATGGATGGATATAGTGGATACAGAATTATGTATTCAGATAATCAGTGGGGAATAACCGGGTTGGGGGAACCCTAAAAAGATCATATATATTAGAGGTAACTGAACTCTATAGAGAAACAAGCAGATTTGGCTAAAATAAAATGTATTTTCCATTTTCCCTTGAAACAACACTGACTGGTATCTTCAGTATACAATAAGCGTCTGATGTCAATACCCACTGATGAAATGAGAGTGATGAAGTCTCTTTTGGTTGTATGTTATATATTAAAGCCACTGACGACACACTGCTCTCCCTCTGGAGGCTGAACTTTAAAGGCCAACTGAAATCACATCCACTCATCCCTCTCTGTAATCAGAAATAACCGTATGTTTTTAAATGTATGTTTATGGTTCATATAATGTAAAAGTATAATAGTTATAATAGATTTTTTATTATTAAATCGGAGAGTTGTTGCACTGAATGTCATGAGCAGACAGCGTGTTAGTGAAGAGTAAGAACCGCAACTAATTCTTCAGTGACATTAGCAGGTACGTTTATGTTTTGCTTAATGTGCTTAATTAGCTGAGAAGCTAATTAGCAACTGAGCCTGATAACTGTCATTAGCAGTGCGCTTTTCCCTGGTGTCGTTTGATTGAACAAGTTAAAGTGCAGGAAACGTTTCATGTGTTGTTTAGAGTCTGTCTGCCCCCGACACAACACTGACCTTTACGTAAGATCAGATTGGCTGTAACAAAAGATGGCCTCCCTCTATGTAGATGGATGTAACAGTAGGGGGCGCCATCATGAAACCGTGAATTATAAATTAATCACAGTGATTTACAGATCAGACATAAATGACGTCCTAATTTCAGTTGGACTTTAAAGTTCGGCCTCGTCCTCTCCACCAACCGAAGGGCCTCAGGACGGACGACGGTGATACAGATGTGACAGATGTTTGATGAACTGTTTGAATGTGCCAACACGGAACAGAAATGACACGTCTGCATGTGCAGTCGTCTGAAACACATGAAGATTGAAGCTGATAATGATTAAAGATTTATTTTATCAAAAATAGATCACAATTGAAGGTTGTCAAAGTAAACATGACAAAAAAAACTGGAAATAAAAAACAGAAAGAAGGAAAAATCAAAAGGCATTTTGCTTTCACACCAAAGTTCCCAGAGCACAATATTCACTCACTCTATTGCTTTTTCTTATTTTTGCATGAAAATTAAACAATTTGGTGACTGAACTGACCTCTGCAGCCAGAACTGAACTCTGCAGCCCGAACTGACCTCTGCAGCCCGAACTGACCTCTGCCGCCCGAACTGACCTCTGCAGCTGATAATGAAGCATGAAAATGTTACATGTCGTGAATATCAAGTGATGGTTAAATATGTGAAAGTTTGGCGATGAGGACGATGCTGCACTCGCAGGGGAAATACTGTATTCTTATTGTTGCACATACAGTATGCAGAATACATTAATCATCATAACTGATGTCTAGTCACAGCTCATCACTGCCGCCGTCAAACAGAAGTCACCCGAGGCTGTTTTTTATGTCCAAGCAAAGCAGAATTACAATAAGACCAAACTGCAGTTGATGCTAGCGTTGATGGATGCAAGTTTTGTAGCAATGTGTTATGATGATGACGATGATGATGATGATGATGATGATGATAAGTTCAGCATTTTGGGAAATATTTTTTGTTTGTCATCTTCCCCAGAGTCAGAAGAGAAAAAGGATATTCAATCATTTCCATTACGGTGACAAGTCCAGGACGTGTTTAGCTTAGCACAAACACTGGAAGCAGGGGGAAACTGTTAGCTTAGCTCTATCAAAGGTAAAACTGATTCTTATACCTACAACATGTAGTAATAATAAGCTTCAACTAGCTACCCAAACCCTGAGGGCTTTTTTTTAAATGCCAGCAGTTGTTGGTCAGTAAGTAGCTCCAATGCTAACTACTTCTGAAACACAATATTTTGCTTTCAGATTTTTATCTTTACACCTGTTCGTCATAACCTGGTCATGCTAGCTTTTGTGGCTATTTGAGTTAGCAGTTTCCCCCGCTTCCAGTTTGCCGTTTATCGCCAAATAGCTCCAGCGCTAAAAACGATACAAACCAGGCAGCTTTGAGGTGGTTGGAAGTGCTAGGCTAGGAGTTTCCCCCCGCTTACAGTCTTTGTGCTAAGCTAGGCTAAACACATCCTGGACCTGTCGCTGTACTGGAGGTTAAACTGATATCTGAGTCTGGGAGAAAAACAAAGCCGGATTTCCCATAAATGTCACCAATGTTGTGGCTGAAATGTACTTCCTGGTACTGAATCTTTGTCGCGGTGGAAAAAAAAACATTTTAGACCTTCGGCTGACGTAAAATTCCTTTTCCATTAAAACCTCAAACGAATATATTGTTTTTAGGTTTAGCAGTTTTTAAGACAGGCTCCATTTATTCAATGGTAGAAAACCTCTGCAGCACGTTATTGCCCTTAAATCAACATTTAATTAAAAAAAAACAGTCACACAAACAATTTCACAAATAAATTAAAATGTGCAAAGAAAATCGTGATGTCTCTAAGCTGTTTGCTATAATCAGGCTGGATGACATCTGATATTAAAAAGGCCAATATTGGCTTCATATACTGTATATTTTATCCGTTGTTAATATGGTTTTGTAGGTTTACATTTCCTCTAGGTTCTTAAACAGTTTTTAGACTTTTCTAAGTTATTAAATGGCAGTTTATAGAGTGTTTGGGTTTATTTAATTGCGTTTAAAAACTGGTCTGATGTCAGATAAACGAGGGACTCCCAACGTCGTTCAGGTGTTAAAGCTTCTGTCGTTAATGAGCGGACACTGAGGTAGATGTCATTGATATAACAGATATACAGCATTTTGATCAAAACCCAAAAACACAATCAGAAACATTCAAAATTATTCAAAAGAAAATCAGATGACAAAATGTATGGAAGCCCATTTCTGCCAAAGTGACGGGGGGAAAAGGATTCTGTAAATCATTATAATGGGAAACTTTCTCAATAATTTAATTTAGTATCTCAAAATATCAACTGTGATACTAAACGAAAACACTGAGAAGGTTTCTCATTATAATTAATTACAGAATGTTGTTTTTCTTCCTGTCACATTAGTGGAAAAGAGCTTCCGTACAAATGTCTGCGTTAAATGCATTTCAACTGTCTTTTTGTTTTTACTTTTCCACACAAACATTCTTCTTATTATGGGCAGTTTCATCTTCTTCTTTTTTTAAAGTGTTTTTGGCAGGCAGACATTTTCATCAGAGCTGCCTACTGGAGCTGCTTTTGTTTTTACAAAGGCAAAAATAATAATAATAATAATAATAATAATAATAATAATAATAAAAAAGAAATGAAAAAATTAAAACACATTAGCAAAAATGTTAAAAATCTACAAAATAATTCACCAATTCCTCTCCATATAAAACATATACAGTATGATACTTTAAAAAATAGAGATTTAGCAACTAACTCCACCGGTCGAACAGAATTATTTCAATAAACGTGATATCGATGAGCTGTTGTTGTTGTTGTTCCCATATTACAGATTAGCGGTGCTGGGTTGAGCCGTCAACACAAAAGTCAAACTTCTTCTGTTTACATGCTCTACTTTTCCAAGCATGCAATAATATGATTTGGTTTGAATATGATATGCAACGTACAGACAGGACTTACAAGTTCTTTTTTTTTTTCTCTACAGCTAGAGGAGCAATCTCCCCAAAAAACATCTATTCGTTGAATATATGGAGGACTCCGTTAGCCAGCAGACATGTTGTAAATATACGGATGATTCAAGTAACGTTTGTCGTACCTCAGAGTCCCACTGTAGCTTCGCTCTGTGCAAAAAATCAGTCGGGATGTCCTCTTGTAATGGAAAGGCGTCTCATAGCTCCGAGTTTCCTATGAGTGTCAGTGTTTTTAATCCAGAGTGTGTTTTATTTCACCTTCGTCGGAGGAAGAAGAAAGAGGAGGAGGAGGAGGAGGGTCGTGGGAAGCGGGGATGTCGTACTCTTTTGGTTTGACGAGGAAGGTGGAGGAGTCGCTCATCGTTCTTCCCCTGGAAAACAAAAAGAGTTTTATTAGAAAATGCAGGATTATTTTGTCACGTTCATGAAGTAACGTGACGTGTTGGTCCCTGAAGTCATCTGGAACTGGAACTATGACTCTGCATATTTCATCATTCTTATACATTTTCTTTCATAAATCAATGCTATTGGTTTCCCTTAACGTCTGTCTGTGGGTTTTTACATATGAACACCAATGAAACCAACCACAGACGTCTGGTTGCGTTGTGGTGCTGAGCTGTCCGAGCCCAACCAAAATTCAACGACTAAACTATCTTAATTAGAAACGTACAACAACCGTTTTCTTAATTAAAAGCAAAGCGACTAATGGCACTGAAACCGGCAAACGCTCAAAAACCTCCACGTTGAACCCTGCACAACAAACTAACAGCAACACTATCAAAGAAGCTACAGAAGCTAATGAGGCAGCCAGCCCGGACCAAATCCTGACCGCTGTCCAAGCAATGAAGGTAAAGATTTTGTAGTGAGTTTCAACGAAGCTGTTAAACGCGATACAAGGAGTACAAGGTGAATGGAAAGCTTTGCCCTGCTGCTAGCACCGATTACGGTCATAAAAACAGCTACTGAGGAGTTGGTGGACGACTTGGAAAACCGTAGCCAACGCTCCGACCTTCGTCTGCCAGAAAAGTAGTCAATACTTGATGTGTGTCTCAATTTGAATCCTTCCATACTCAAACTAACCACTGTAAAGTGTCGAGTGTGGTCAAATGCACTGTGAGGAACGTTGGACACTGCTCATCCTCTGTGGTCGCCATTCTCTCTACGTAGCGGACGGGGAGGGACCACCGGGACATACCGGTACATTTTCCATCTTGCATGAAACATAATTTAATTTAGTAAGTTGAGTGAGGGCTTGTTGTTATTGGAGGACGGAGCAAAAGGGGGCGTGGCTTATGAAGGATCAATTCTGGAAGGTCTGAAAGCTGCACTGATGATAAAGCACTCACTAACTGATGTCTGTATATGCCTCTTTTTCCTTCCCCAGTCGCTTCATCACACACTCACACACACACACACACACACACACACACAGACACACACACTCACTCCACACACACTCACACACTCACACACACACTCTCACACACACTCACTCACACACACACACCACTCTCACACACACACTCACACACTCAACACACACTCTCACACACACTCACTCACACACACACACTCACTCTCACACACACACTCACACACACACACTCTCTCCAGGCCATCTCCACAGTCACATGCTGAGGAAGCAGAGCCAAGGACAGGACAAACCAGCAGCCTTCACTTCCTGTTTATTCTGTCTTGGTTGTGCACATAGAGAGCAGCCGAGGACCGAGCTAACGACGGCATCGACCTCACTAATGTTCAGCGTTAAAGGGTCACTGAGTTATAATCAGATTCATAGCTTTCATACACACTGCGAGAAAGGTCAACGGGTGGAAATCTTCCCTTTAAACTAATAAACTGAGTTATTACTAATAATAACTCAGTTTATTCAGTTGTTCCCTAAAAATGGTTATTTGTACCCTCGAATGACTTCATTTGATTACTGGAATTAATAATATATCTTCAAAATGACTCCTGCCCTCAGTTTGCCTAATTTGCCTCCTATATGGGGGCAGTAAGATAACTTTAATTTGACCTAATTTGCTGAGTTGGCATTGAAAGCAGTTGTGCAAAAAAAACTAAATGTATATAAAAACATAGAAAAAATTCCCAATTCCCAAAAATATGAGAACAAAAATGTAATCATATGTTTTCATACGGAAGCTCTGACAGGTAAGTGAGTTAAATAAAAAAAACAGATCCTCCTAACCATTACGCTGGACTTTAAGAACAGGTGGATAATCTTTCTAAAAAAGGTCCTTAAAAATTCAAGTGTGGAAAAAGTAAATGTTTAAATAAAATCTAGAATATAAAGAATATATACACATTAGATACAATAAAGTGGAATATGGTCCAGATCGATAACTGTACGTGTGCAATGTTATGAGGAAAGAAAGAACATTTTATTTTAATTTACGTTACAAAAAATGAAATGAAGATACTGGGAAGAAAATACAATCATTCATTTCCATTAATTTAAAAATAAAAGATACTGACAACAACAATCACCTTTTTCCACCTATTTTCCACAGATAAAAAACTAAATTAAGGAAAATTAGGAAAAATGATCCTGGCAAAACCTTTTTTCATTCATAAACAAAAAATATTTGTATCAGACTAAATAAATAAATAAAATCACCATATTTGTATTTCTCGCTCACCACTCAGGGCTTCCGTAGGTTCATGAGTTGCTGGACCAGAAATGAACATTTTAAAAGAAGCGATTATGTAAGTGTTTGATAGAAAGTGGCACAAAAACCAGGAACCATACTTTACCTGTAACAGACTGAGCTGCTACCAGCTGTGGCCCTCTGAGATTAAACCTCCAGGGGCCACAGGAGGTTTTAATCCAGTCAGAAACTCACTTTATTGACCCAGTTTAATCTGTGTCAGCTATGGACACTGGTGGGAAACTATTTGTGACCACAGACGGCATAAAAAATAAAAAAAATCTCCAGACAGGACGTGACGAGCTGCGAGAAGACAAGCAGGCAGGCGGTGAGTTGGACCGTAAACAGTAGTGGTCCAACCAGCTGTGTGCTGCATGTCGTTTGTAAAATAATCCAGTGAAACTGCTCTCTGCACTTTGTTGAGCTTCACTTCACTCCAGCAGATTCAAGGTATTATCAGCTGGCATCTTTAAGCATGGCTGCACATTTTCCATGTAGTAGCTGCTAGAAATAGACTGTCCTCCAGGAAGGGAAAGTGGAGGGATATCAAGTAATAATTCATAGCACAAAAACAGGAATGATGGAGGTTGAATCTGCTGATGTCAGTTTACTGTACAAAGGTCTGATTTCTTTTTACACATTTTAAATTAAGAGTTTTTTTATTACAGTTGGGATGTTTTCTTTCTTATAAGCTGCTAATGTTTTAAAAAAATTATAATTTTTGTCTGGTGGAGAGTGATAGTGATATTACGGCTGTTTGTGGTTAAACTAAAGGTCTATCTCTGTAGGGATCCTTTCCATAATGCTGTCAGACACTGACAATAACAACCTGAGTCTGTCAGTGGAACAAACAACTACTGTTAGTGGAACAAATAACAACTACTGTTAGTGGAACAAACAACGACTACTGTCAGTGGAACAAACAACAACTACTGTTAGTGGAACAAACAACAACTACTGTTAGTGGAACAAACAACAACTACTGTTAGTGGAACAAACAACAACTACTGTTAGTGGAACAAACTACTACTGTTAGTGGAACAAACAACAACTACTGTTAGTGGAACAAACAACTACTACTGTTAGTGGAACAAACAACAACAACAACTGTTAGTGGAACAAACAACAACTACTGTTAGTGGAACAAACAACAACAACTGTTATTAGCTTATGTTAGTGCTGTTCATGAATATTCTGTGAATTAAGGATTTTATTTTGACCAAACCAGAGTTGTTGGAAGGAATCATAAAGACGGTTTTAAAGAGGTATTAACGAGCACCTTGTCGGTGACATATTTTATCTAAATTTCTATATATTATATTCAACAATAACAATAACTGCAGATAGATTATTTCCTTTGAATATTGATCAGAGATGAGTTTTCACGATATTTTTAGCAACTTTTTCAACAATTCTCAGTCTGTATTATGTATTTTTATAATTTTAACAATCAATCATACTTAACATGCTTCTTTCTTGACAAATTCAGCATTTTCTTCTCATTTTTTCTATTTTGGTTGTACAAATGCAGATAATGTTGAACTAAGTGCTAACAATCAATCAACAAACAGACAAAAAACAATCTGTTGGCTCATGATAGCTCGCTGCAACTGTTGGCCTAACATTAACGTCCTTCATCAGCGTTTAATAAAACAAATATTCTTTTATTCAGGTGATTAAACACTAATGAAAACATACCTATGATTATTATATTACCTTTCTGTCAATAGATCCTCCTCAATGTAAGGAGATGTAAATGAGACTGAGCCTCCTGGAGGAATCAGAGTAAACTCCTCCGACCAGCAGGGGGAGCCGCAGCCTCGGGGGGGGGCTGTCAGGATGAACCTCTACATGATAGAAAAATAATACAAACTGTCCAGCCAGTCAGAAGCCAGTATTCCCTGTTGCTATGGTAACAGTCTCCGTACATTATGTGATCACTGTCACCTGCTGACACTGCTTTTATATATATAAAAAAAACAACAACCTGGACTCATGTTCCCTGAATCACAACAACAACAACAACAACAACAACAAACAGCACGAAGCCACTGCAGCGTGATGTTGTGTGTGGATGTTGTTGATCCCGTCACCGTGGCGACCGCAGCCCAGCAGCTGCTGTCACCGGCGGTCTGATGTCGTGCCGGTGTCAAGGTCTCGTGACTGTCATTCGTCAAGTGTAAGTGACAAACGTGTCTTTAAATAACGGTGACCTCCGACCTGAATGAAAGACGCCCAACTGGCAGCTCAACAGAAAGTCCAGATCAGTGTCTGTCCCACCGTGACAGGAAGTCCTCTTTAGGTATTATTGATGGTATTTTCCTGAAAATCAATAAAAGAAAGGGACACTTTCTCTCTTCTGAGGTTGTTACAGACATCTATAGCCTCACTGATTACTCTACAAAGGCCCACTCTAGAGCTACATTAGCCAGTTAGCTCAACTTTATAACTGAATTCAATGAAACTGGATCAGATTTTATGGAGAAAATATTTCCTGGTTTTCCCTCTGACGTCCTCCGGCTGCTCACAGCTGCTGCACTGAATCAATAACAGCTAACTCTCAAACATTAATCAATAACTCATCATAAACGAAGTGCACTGTGCAGACTCTGAGCTCTCAGTGTGATGTTACGTTTGCACACCAGATGGAGACAGATGTTACCTTTAAGATTTCAGCTGCACATCAGGATTGAGCTTTAAATATAAAGTTATTATATTATATATATAATTATATAAATATTATAGACTAAATGATTCATTTATTTATTGATTATTTATTAACAATAGATTAATCTATCGTGAAAATAATTGTTAGTTTAGGATCTTAAATGATATCTGCAGGTTTATTATTACATTAAAATGAACTCTTTCTTTCTGAATCTTGATTTAAAGTTCATTGTTGGTCCATTCAGTAGCTGTTCTTTTTGGTCTCATCACGTGATCTTCCTTAAACGTTTCCATGACAACCGGACCAACTCCAGCTGCTGAGGAACATGTGGTCTGACTGAAAGCTCCAGAACAGCTGGAATATGATCCAGTTTCACACCAATCACTGATGAAGTGTGTTTGTACAGTAATCAGTTGAAGAGTGATTGACGGGTGAATGTCAGGATATTATTGGTTACACTTTGTACATTTCCTGTCACACATTGTTAAATATGGGAACAATATAACCGAGGATGTGATCTTAAAGGGTTAAGAAGACATTTTTAATTTCTGGACTTTAAGAACTGATGACAGCTGTAATTTCATCTGTTTAAAAGTCTGTCGTCGGTTGTGCGTTAACCCCTGACCTCCCTCCATCTGTACCTCCATGCTGCTGTTTTCATCTGTTTGTCTTTCATGAGGTGGAAATGGGGGTGGGCTGGGTGGAGGTGGAGGTGGGGGGGTGTAACTCACTGCAGGCCACTTGAGGCTTCGGGGCAGATTCCCTCAGCAGTGACATAGACGCTAACAATAGCTGTCAGAGTGAAACCCTGCCCAGTGTCATCCAAGGGGAAACCTGTTTACCTCCGCCAGCACCGGCTGCATATGTCCAGAGAGGACATGCAGGGCGGAGGGAGGAGGAGGGAGGTCGGAGGAGGGAGGGAGGAGGGGGTGACTTCACAGGAAGAGACTGTGACCAGAAACCCTCCCGGGGGGGACGCAGTCAGTCAGCTCGATGCTTGTTCGAGCTGCCTCCTGCTCGCAGTGAGCTGCTGCGTTACGTAACTGGTGGACGGTGTGGCGGGAGTAAACACAACGCACTGGAAACGTGATTCATTTCCCCCCGACGTCACCTTCACACTCCGATGGAGGGACGGAGAAAACAAACAAACAAACAAACAAACAAACAAAGCAGCTGAATCCTGAGAGTCTCTGAGCTGCTTCTGTTATTTACCCTACTGGTTCCCAACATGGAGGTCGAGACCCCAGATAGGGGTCACCAAAGCTTCACAGCGGGGGGGTTGTTACAGTCAGACCTGCATGTTGGTGTAAATATCATGGTGTTGCTATGGTAACGGGAGAAACTAAAAGGCAGCAAGAATGTAACAGACTAATCAATAAGTTGTCAACAGATATCGGTTGATATTATACGGAAGCCTGTTGCTGCCAGATGAAGAAAAAATATCACATGTAAGGAAAAATATGTCAGATTTATAACTTGGCAATTTTAGACCATTTAATAAGAAAGTAAACATGAACATGGTGGCATTTCATTCATTTCTGTGAAGAAAACTAAATAAAGTAGTCATTTTTTAATGTTGATATTATTATTTAAGATCTAAACTTTCCATTCACAGACCTTCAGTCTCTGATAAACAACCTCGTCCTGCATTAAAGAAAACATCCAAAGACCTGAAAGAACAATGAGGGGGGGGGAAATATAAAGTATAAAAATATCAGGAATATCTCTGATCAATATTCACAGGAAATAATCAGCTCACTGAAAGTCACACTAAAACATCTCAGACCAAAACAACGAGATGGTGGTGTCCACATACTTTTGGCCACATACTGTATATGTCTGTCAGACAGGGTTGGAAACTCTACTAATGAGGCTCGTTGGCCTTAGAGGACACTTTGGACCATAATTAGGCACCGCAGCCTAAACAGGAAGTGTTTTATTTTGAAGGGGAATGCTGTACTGTCTCTCTTTCATCCAGCTGCAGCTGAAGGGGGGGTTGGGGGTAATATCTGAGCCAGCAGAGTGAACTGTAGATCCAGCTGTGGTGTCCAGCTGACTTCTTGCAGCAGCTGCCGCCACCTGCAGGCTCACAGCGGTACTGCATCCTGCCTTTCTAACAACAACAGAGGGATCATGTTGTTCTCTCGTTCTCAGTGAAGTTAAAGAAATACGGTTTCATTGTGTTTAATGGGCAAAGAACAGAGCAGCAGTAAACAAAAACCTGCATATATCTTTACTAAAATCACCTCTAGATGTGTATTAAAGCTGCAGCTATTCAAATATTTATTCTCATATTTGATGAAACTTTCATTATATCCTGAGAGTAGAACATGAGACGGATAATCTGTGAAAAACTCAGCTTCCTCTGATAAAAGGATCCACTGGGTCTGAACGAAAACAGCCAATCAGAGCCAAGAAACAAAGTTCATTCAGACTTTTAACTCTAGATTTGAACCGGATGAAGGATTTTAGTCATCGGACGTCTGGATCTTAAGTTATCAGAGAAACAAGCTGAGCTAACGTTAGCAGCAGCTCGGCTCGCAGCCCCTCCGGGACGTCCTTTGTCTGTCCAACAGCGTGGGAGAAGCAGTGATTGTTAAGGTGGAACTGCTTTATTCAGTGTGTTTAAGGTGGAACTGCTTTATTCAGTGTGTTTAGTGGTTTTAATCAGTTTGATTTAAAGAAACCTGCAGAAACGACATATTAACACAATGAATAAACTTGTTTAACTCACCTCTCTGTGCGACCGGCCCTCCGCTGTTATTAATCCAATGGTCGTCTGAGTTGAAGAGTCGTCCATACGTCCATTTATCCGTCCATCCGTCCGTCTGTGTTGATGATTCAGCAGTTAAACTCCATCAGGCCTCCATCCATCGATCAATCAGCTGATAATCCAACCAACAGCACGGTGAACTTCACTGCGAGAACGTCTGCTGGGACCGTTTTTATTCCCTCAGTCTGTTAAATTCCCCGTTTTTTCCATTAGGTTTGGTGGAAAGATTCGTCCCTGGAGTCCAGATGAGTAAGGTGCTATAATGGCTAAATGCTAATTATGGAAACCTTAAAATACAGCAGGAGACCTGTTCGTTCTATTCGTCTGACAAGGACTGATCAGTTTGTTTCCAAATATCAGGAAATATTGAAATATTGAAATATAAAATATTGATTGAATGAGAATAATCGGGGACATTCTTGTGTTTGTTGTGTTGCATTTTTAAGTAGTTTTTCAAGTTAAAACGTCAGAACTCGACTGATACATCAGCAGGCTGATTCATTTTATCATTCTTATTTTTTTAATTATTATTATTATTATTATACTGTGAGCTGATATCACAGAAGTAACATTTCATATGGAAGCAAAAAAAGTGCCAAAATTATTTTAATTATACAAGTAACTTTAAAAACCACAATATTTTATTTTGAAAAAACAAATCTGAGTTTATGAGGTTTGAATTACATATTTAAAATTTTAAATTAAAGTGTTTCAGGGTCGCTCCTAAACTTTTCTTTCTTGGATCATGTGACTTTTTCCATTTAAAAGAGTTCTGAATCTCATCTAGCAGCTGTTGGAGCTTTCAACCATATTAAATATTCTACATCAACACATGGATTAAATTTCTTATCTGAATCTGTGAAACCTAAAAAACACAACAACTAGAAATGGTTTTAAAATTTCAATATTTCATTGTTGTTGGTTTTTTATTCAATTTAAATGCCATTTTCCAATTTTGGTCTTTTTGTGCTTCCATACTTGGCTGATATGCAACAAAAAGTGGCAGAAAAAAATTTGTTTTTGGCCAAATTCTTACATATTTTTTTACATATTAATCTTTTTTAAACACATTGTGTTTTGTTTATATAATATGAGTTAATTCCAGGTTTGTTGTTATTGTCAGTTTTGCTTGTTAATGCTAAAATATCCTGTTTTAGGACATAATATATAATATCAGGAGGGATGTTTTTGGCTTTTTTCCCCTCTACTATAAATCAGCCTCAGACGTCAGTGTCAGTCGAGCTCTAGAACATCCAAAATATTATATTTTTCTATTATAAAGATCAAATCATATCGAATCTCTTTTGTGGTTTTCTGCCTACAAATATAGACAATTTCACAACCTCAGTTTGGGCTCTGGGAACTATTTCAACCACATTTTAATCCTAAAATATGAAACAATGTGAATAAAGGTTGGTTGCAGCTCAGGTTGGATCCTCTCGGAGGTGTGTGGACAGCAGGTGAAACATCTGGCTGTAAATACGTCACGTTGGATCAATTGTCCTGTTAAAGGTTGAATCGATGTGTCACATTCAAACAACATGGAGGCTTCCACAACATGGTGGTTTTCTGGCCTCGCCGATTGCCTCGTCTCTTCAGCTTCAGCAGCATCCTTCCCTTCCTGTGGCAGACAATGCAGAAAAGTCTGGAAGGTTGCTATAGAAACTGCATCCGCCGAGGAGACGCAGCGCTGCGGTTCATCCACACGGTGGCGCTCTCGGTTTGGGGGAGAAAAAAAAAAGCTGCAGCTGATTTTATAATATCTTTCCAGGCAGGCTGCTGAGGGTTTAACCTCCTGGAGCCTTTTTTATTTTACAGCTGCAGGTGAAACCCAGAACTCTCTGAGCCCTGATTGTTGTCTCACAGGCGGCTGGTTACAGAACAGAGGTTGGAATCACTGTCGTTTAATTTTAGGATAATTGATTCTTCCAGCCTGCTGCACATGATCTGATCCACCACTGAGCTCCAACCAGCCTGAATGGAAAATACATGAGGGTGAAATAACAGGTGTGTGTGTGTGTGTGTGTGTGTGTGTGTGTGTGTGTGTGTGTGTGTGTGTGTGTGTGTGTCACCATGTGCCTCCTGCATCACTCTGTAAATTTAGACTACATTGGTCCTGTGTTGTGTCTCTGCTTCTGGTGAACAGAAAAAAAGAATGTAAACTTTCAACCTGCATTATTGTGGTAATAAATTACTAAGAACATTAAAGTGCTACAACCGGATACAGGATCGATTCTGAGTCCCCGACGCGCGTAATGGAAGACAGTTTGATTAAAGTGAACTCTGTTATAATCCTCCCGCTGTTAATGAATCCCTGTGATGGCAGAAATAAGGAGCTCAAACCGGAGCGCGGGGTTGTTTGTGTGGATGGCACTGAAAGGTTCCCTCAGCGCGCGCACTGCTGCGTAATTTGGGAATCAAACGTCGGTGAGTTTCCCGCTGTACGCTTTGTGCGGGCTGCAGTTGGTGTATTTGATGGAGTCCGCGTCCTCGCTGTCCAGGTAGTCGGACTTGGACAGAGACGGTTTGCTGTCGCTCTTCTTGAACTCACCGAACTGCGACTGCTGCTGCCCGCAGGTCACGTGCGTGTACTGGAACTGCTCCTCGTGCTCCGTCTCGCGGTGGTAGAAGTAGTTGAAGTTGGAGACGATGACCGGCACCGGGAGCGCGATGGTGAGCACACCGGCGATGGCGCACAGCGAGCCCACGATCTTCCCGCCGATGGTGACCGGACACATGTCCCCGTAGCCCACCGTCGTCATGGAGACCACCGCCCACCAGAACGCGTCCGGGATGCTGCTGAAGCCCGACTCCGGGTCGTCGGTCTCCGCGAAGTACACCGCGCTGGAGAAGAGGATGACCCCGATGAAGAGGAAGAAGATGAGCAGTCCCAGCTCCCTCATGCTGGCCTGCAGGGTCTTCCCGAGGATCTGGAGCCCCTTGGAGTGCCTGGAGAGCTTGAAGATCCGGAAGACCCGGACCAGGCGGATGACCCTGAGGATGGCCAGCGACATGGCCTGCTGCCCGTTGCCCTGGTGCTCCGCGAGTTCGAGCCCCAGCGTGATGAAGTACGGCATGATGGCCACGATGTCGATGGTGTTCATGATGTTCTTGAAGAAGGCGGGTTTGCTCGGGCAGGCGAGGAACCGGACCAGCAGCTCGAAGGAGAACCAGATGATGCAGAGGGTCTCCACGATGAAGAACGGGTCCGTGAACGGGTTGGGCTTCTTGGCGCGCGCGGTTCCGTTCACCCCGAGCTGCTCGTCAAACGTCCGGGCCTCCTCCCGGAACTCCGGTAGAGTCTCCAGGCAGAAGATCACAATGGAGATGAGGATGACGAGCACGGACACTATCGCGATCCCCCTGGCGGGTCCAGAACTCTCCGGGTACTCGAACAGGAGCCAGACCTGCCGCTGGAACTCGTTGTCAGGCAGCGGGCGCTCTTCCTCCTTAATGAACCCCTCATCCTCCTTAAAATTCTCTATCACCTCCTCCCCCAGTTCGTAGAATTTAATCTCCTCCATGAAAATGTCCACGGGCACGTTGACGGGTCTCCGGAGCCGCCCCCCGGACTGGTAGTAGTAGAGGATGGCATCGAAGCTGGGTCTGTTCCTGTCGAAGAAGTACTCGTTCCTCAGCGGGTCGAAGAAGCGCATCCTCTTGCGCGGGTCCCCCAGCAGGGTGGCGGGAAACTGGGCGAGCGTCTTCAGCTGCGTCTCGAAGCGCAGCCCGGAGATGTTGATGACGACCCGCTCGCAGCACTCCTGGTTCTCGACTCTCTCCGGGTCGTACACATCCTGGGCTGACAGCGCGGCCAGTGCCACAGTCTCATCCAGGTTCTCTCCGGGCACCACTGTCATCTTTCCCCCCCAGACAAGGGCGACGCTTCCCGCACCTCAGTCCTCTCTGACCCCCCTCCCCTGCGCGTATTTTGGAAACCAGCTGAGCGTCTCCGCGTGTCCCCCTTTCTCCCCTCCGTGTGTCGGCGTCACGTCTGCGGGTGAGCTGGTTCCGCTGGCATTTTTGTGGTCCCCCCCCCTCCAACCACCACGCTCACCTTTCCCGTCCACGCGCCGCTGTAGTCTGGACTCTCGGCTCTGCTGCTGTCACATTCGCTGCATCTTAAACAGGCAAACCCTCCCCGAGCTGACGTGTGTGTGTGCACGCTCTCTCACTAAAAAAAAGGGGGGAAATAAAAACACACACGCACGCACATATGCTCGTGATGAGTGTGATCCAGCGACCCAGGAACCAACATGCACAGTGAGCTGGTGAGAGAGAGAGAGAGAGAGGGATCTGGAGACAGAGGGTGCGCTGCGTAATGAACCTGTTGTCTCCAGCGTGGCGCGGGCTCAAGGTTACCATGGAGTTGTTGTTTATGGTGAAATGTGATGTGATGTTTGCACATATGAGCATGCGTGTGAGCGCAGACAGGTTAATGGGGCAAAAGACGCGTTTTGGAAACAGATTTCATGCAAATAAACATGCGATTTTCATTCATGATTTTGGTCTAAATGAATACCTGTGGCTCAGGGGTCCGTCCTCCTCCGTCTACCCATCCTCTCATCCACACACATGGAGGGGGGGGGGGGGGGGCAGAAAGAGGCTCTGCAATGTCACGCCGCAGCCGCTTCAACACGAAACCTCGCTGAGGTTTCCACAACAGCCCTGAACGCCGCCGAGCTGCTCCACAAGTTGTGCACGACTTGCAGGATCCGTCATGGTGTCTGCGGCGGGCGCGCTGCAGTGCACGCAAAACCCAGACCGACACCGAGAGCTTCCCTCTCCCTTTCTCCCGCTTCTCTCCCGCTTTCTCTGGGAGAGTTAGAGTGCAAAGGATGGAAGGTAAACACCGCCGCGCTGTGCAACAAGTAAAAGAGACAGAGGAAGGGGGGGGCAAAGCTGGATGGAAAGAAGGAGAAGAAGGAGAAGAAGGAGAGTTTCTGGGCTGCAGCTCAAAGCAATGACGTGTTTTCCTAAAATAGCTGGATTTCTCCCAGGGCCTGCAGGAAAAGTTTCTTTTCCCATGGAATGGCCCGAGGGAGCTGCGAGGGGGAAAATGGAGGAAAAAATAAGAAGAGAGAGAGAGAGAGAGAGAGAGAGAGAGAGAGAGATGACATGAAAAGGAAAAAACAGATTTGCATGAGAATGTCATTCAGAAATTACAATAGAGAGGATTCACTCTGAAAGTTCACACAAAGCACAATACAAACATTTATAACACAATAAAAACTCAAAATATAAATTTACATTTGAATTCTGGCCAAAATATTTTACTCAAATAAACTTATGAACCTCAACTTTTAACCTGAACAGATAAAACGTCATTTTAACCCTTTAAGATCACATCCTCAGTTATATTGTTCCCTTATTTAACTATTTATTACGAAAACATTTACAAAAACACAACTTTATCAGTGATTTGGGTGAAACTGGTTTATATTTTATACACAGTAATGTTAGCTGTAACTAGTTTACTACTTTAATGTAATCAAACTGTCCTCCGTCAGCATCAGATGCTGCATTCAGTCCCAGTCTGGAAGTTACTTAACTTATTTCAATTACATACAATTTAAAGGGTCGGCCACCTGCAGCGTTAACCTTATAGTCTTGTTTGCATCCTGAAAATATTCATGTACATTTTTCACTTTACTTACATTTAACTGAAAATATTGCTTCATTTTTAGAAATTAGATGTATTTATTTGTAATCTCTTTGCTTTTAGTAGTATACATTTGTCTATCTAACAATCTATTTTACTGTATATATATATATATATATATATATATATATATACTTTGGGGATTTTTGGATGCATAATCTGTTTTTCTGTGATGGAAAACTTATAAATAAAGGTGTGGAAACAAAATTATTGCATCAGACTTTAAGTCATTTGTTTCTGTTGTTGTTTTATGGAAATTCATAATGTTGTGAACCTCAGAACGTCACATTTTGTTTGATTTTTTTTTGTTTGTTAATTAAGTCCATTCATCTGTGTCACCTTAGTCGTCATGAGCGGGTAAATCAGCTCTAGAGACCAAAAGTCTGTAAACAAAGAAACATTTTAATATGGAGCCTTATGGAGACTCACTGCTGGAGCCAGTCTCTAGTGGCCCTTAGAGGAACTGCAGCCGGATTAAAACCCAGCTTTCAGATTCAGAAACCTTCATTCTTCTTGTGAACAGAACAGAAGACATATGTTGTCCAATAAACCTGTTGCATAAAGTAGTTAAATGTCCTGGTTCGGAAGGATTATTATCCAATCAGAGGGCAGCGGGAGGACAAGTTCGAAACATTTAATGATGCAACATTTCCAAAACGTCTCTTACTCACACCCTGATGGTCTGACTCATGCTGAAATCTGTCTTCAGCTGCCTGCAGCTGACCTCTGCAGTCTGGCAATACCTCATTTCCTGTATCATGTGAGCTCATCACACACACACACACACACACACACACACACACACACACAAGTTGCTAGCCTCACACTGGCGTCCACATGTTGCTTAAATGTCACTCCGGTTCTCTGGTGGATTCTCTGTTTCTGTCCAGGTTTCTGTTTCCTGTTGGCCTCGAGCACAGAGACGCTCCATAATGTCTGCGATGAGGTCGCCTCACGCAGTCACAGTTAAACCTTAAATGTCACATTAATGCGACAAAGTCTGGATTTCAAAAGATCATCAGTGAAAGGGCAAGTTTATAGTTTTTAGTTTTGTTTCTCTAAAATAATCTCGTCTGGTTTCAGGAGACAAATATGCAAACATTTGGTTTAACGTTCAAATTGAAATTTAATATATCTGCAAAATGTTCCGTTCATTCCTAAAATAAATCAACATGAAGCAGAGTTGTGGTTAATGAAACCACAGATTAAAGTCTGAAGTAGAAATCATCGCTGCCTCCATTTTTCTTTTCTCTATAAATCCGTGCTATTGGTTTACACATTACATCAGTCTGTGGCTCTTACACACATTAAACAGGAGGTTATACTGCTGTTATTATTACTCAGAGTTCTGTATTTATATGATGGAAAACTTATAAAGTTGTGAAAAAGGTTTATGAAAGCCAAGAATCTTTGTTTTTGTGTATTTATACATTAGTGTAGTGTGTGTTAGTGTAATTGTGTAAGTGAACTGAAAGTGTGTTCTTCTGTCTTTAGGGACAAATAAAACTGTTTAAATTTAATTTAAAACCAACTTTAAGTAATTTGTCGCTTTTATTTTATGGAAATTTGTGATGTTGTGAACCTCAAGATATTATATTAGTTATTTATTCATCTTAATCTTTTGATCTTTGTCACCTTATTAAACTTTATAAACATATAATTTCAATTAAAAAGAAACAATATCAAATTTGATGACACAGTGCTCAGTTATTGTAAAATTATGTGATTCTACCGTTTTGGACAAATGTAATAATATTCTCCCAAACATACGGACCGCTGCAGACACAACGGTTCAGTAGTATTTCTTTTTATTCTACATACTTTCTGACGTCCACTCGGAGGTCGTGTTCCTCGCAGGGTGGCGGCCGTACACTCGCTCAGGCAGCACGTGTTAATTGTAATCGATAGAGAGTCGATTAGCAGAGGACAACATGCTAATTTGTTTGTGGCGGCTGTGGCTCAGGAGGTAGAGCAGGTCGGTTGGAGAAATGCACTCTGGGAGTCGTAGTTCAGGTTTTCTGTGACTTCTCGGATTATGTTGGCGCAGCGGGTTGTTTTTGGACACCAGTGTTTGTTGCTTATGAATGGTTCACTGAGAGCTGACATGTGAGCACCGCTGGGACACACTGAGTCCCATCAACCACTGACCATTACACTCTGTCATCTACTTTAAATATACACTAAGTGTAAGGAGGATTTTTCCCACCCTCTGAAGCCTTTTGCTGTCATTATAATTTATGTCAGCGAACATACGGTTCTGGAAAACTTACAAAAGTCTGACATGAAAAATGGCTGAAGTCCTGGAGGCCGCCGGGTCGCTCCGAACATCAGAGGGGAAATACGTCACGTAGAGTCTGACGAGCCCGAGCAACATGTTAGCTGTTATATAAGAGACACAGAATTAACTTCTATCTGCTGATTGATCCACTGCATGGTACGGCTCGGCTCGGCTCGGCTCACTTTTGCTACCAGGTACTTTACTCGATTTTGTGCGGATAGTTCCCACTCAATGCAGTTAGCTGATCGTCATACAAACACAGGAGGGTGAAGGATGTCCAAAAGTGCAAGGTACCCTGCTCAAATATTTTCGAGAGAAACTGTGTGAAGAATCTTAATTGAAGACAACTTAATAACATACATACATACATACATACATACATACATGCTGCTCCAAACCTGCTTCGGATTAGAAAGGTGGTGTGGAATTAGGATGATGATGATGATTACCTCGGGCATGAAATGAACACACGACACAGTCTCATAATGTAGGACACGTCCCAACAGTGTCGACTTACATTAAACGTTGGCTGGTTATTCGTCATGGACGCATGGAAGCAGCCGTGATTTAATCGTATTTATCTGCTGGGTGTCTATAAACTGGTCCAGGATCAGCGCCTCTTCTCCCTTTAACGTCCTGTGTAATTAAATGAATCTATTAGATGAAATTACATTGTGTTGTGACAGCTGACTGTGTTGATGGCGGTAAGTGGGCTGAGAGACAGCTGCTGTCCTTCAGTCGGCGAGGAAGTGTTTAATCAGGATAAAACTTAAAGATGCTACAACAGACCGTGTTAGCCTTTTAGCTACATTAGGGGCCGTTCAGGTGCCGCTTTCACCCTTAAACCCAAAGCTTCACTTTCAGGTTTTGAGTGCACTCGTCATCTCCCTTCAGCATTAATGTAACTGTGCACGCAATAGACGCCACATCTAAGCCATAACAGCCATAAACATTCATGAACTACCGTTTACCGTTAACGTTTTTATCTGCAGACGGAGCGGGTCACTCTTCTGGCGGAGTCCGCCATGTCGAACCAGGTTTCTACAGTAGCCCAGAACAGACAAACCAAACCAGACCAGACCGTAGTTTCTCCTGCATGCTTGGTTTCAAGTTGGTTGCAAATCTGCAATCTCGCTGCGAGATGCCACTAAACCCTTCACTGGTCCTTTAAGTAAAAATATGTAAATATTATCAGCAAAATGTATGAAAAGTAAAAGCAGTCATTGTTCAGTAAAATGCTCCCTGACAGTGTTTTACTATATTTGATGTGTTTGAAGTATTAAGAGCAATAGGACATTAGATGGCTTATGGATGGTAATGTTGGTGTGTTTGTCGCTTTGGTCCACTGCCCCAACAACCCCAAAAGCCCCAATGTTCACTTCATGTCTGGGAGTTTGATTAATTCTAAATTTGTTTGTGGCTTTCCAAGAGTAGAATCTCACTGGGGGGTCTTGTTTTATTATCCAAAGGGACGAATATAGGCCAAAAATGTTACTACAAACGAGCCTTGAGAGGTGTAGCACAGGGAGTGAGACTGGGTCCACTTTGGTTTTAATTTAAAATAGTTTCATGAGAATGTAAAGTATATAAAACTGGACTTCAACCTGTAACAGCCTCGCAGGAACAAACCCGACAGTTAAACTCTGTGTGCTCTGAAAGCGGAAACGAGTACTGATTGAATACTGAAGGTCATCCTGGTTCCAGGTCCTGATGGGGAAATCAACAGAAACTGGGTTAATGTTTCAGGGAGCTGA